ATTATACTAAGATAAAACACATAGCATGGGAGGTGGGCGTTGTCTTATATTAGGGTTTTTATCGACAGACTGTATTAGTGAATATACTAAGATAAAACACATAGCATGGGAGGTGGGCGTTGTCTTATATTAGGGTTTTTATTGACAGACTGTATTAGTGATTATACTAAGATAAAACACATAGCATGGGAGGTGGGCGTTGTCTTATATTAGGGTTTTTATTGACAGACTGTATTAGTGATTATACTGAGATAAAACACACAGCATGGGAGGTGGGCGTTGTCTTATATTAGGGTTTTTATCGACAGACTGTATTAGTGAATATACTAAGATAAAACACATAGCATGGGAGGTGGGCGTTGTCTTATACTAGGGTTTTTATCGACAGACTGTATTAGTGATTATACTAAGATAAAACACACAGCATGGGAGGTGGGCGTTGTCTTATATTAGGGTTTTTATCGACAGACTGTATTAGTGATTATACTAAGATAAAACACAGCATGGGAGGTGGGCGTTGTCTTATATTAGGGTTTTTATCGACAGACTATTGGTGAATATACAGAGATAAGACACATAGCAGAAGGAGACAACATGTAGTGCTAATATCAGTTTTCATCTTTACAGGGATGATGATGAGGATGGAGACAATGGTGCGAAAGGTACCCCTTCAGTGATGTCATTCTTCAGTTCAAAAGACTCTGATCCAAGATTGAAAAAGCATCATTATTTTAATGATCGTCATTTGACGCAGGTTACAGATTTCTGATTTCACCAGCTTGTAGTTAAAAGTCGTACCGTTATTAAACACCCATTCTGACGATATGATGGACCTAGAACAAAGATGATTCATAATGTCTCTAACCCCAGCATACAGGCAACACCTGTGATGCAAGAAACAGAAAACCAGCACATCTCACTGTTCGATAACCCTGCCTTTTTGTAGCTACAGCTTGTATACTAAATTTATGATTACATCCACATATGTCAAAATGTCCTTAAAAAACAGATTCATGAGCAAACAAGAATCAAAGAAACCTTGGAACAAACTCAAGTGTGCTGAGGGAATTGAAGACATGAAACAGAAAGAAAGTATTGGAAGCTAATTAAAAATTTAAGGATTGTTCTGCTGTGAGAATCACAGATGTGAGAGTAATTTGATCCACAATACTGTACAAACAGAAAACCCTACCAATCTCCCCTATGTGTGCATAGTCCTAGATAACCAATAAGTATACAATCTCATAGCTGGACATTTGCTAATTTATGTACATTAAAGTGTCATCAGCTGCAACTATTGAAATCTCTTGCATGATTTTTAGGCCCCATTTGGGCTTATTGATTGACCTCCTTTTGAGGAAGGCGCGACATTGCACTTTTTAACGTTATCCGATATTATCGTCTAAAAATGTCTAAGTTAGACAGGTCTGTCTGTGCAACTATTGGGCCAGTTCGTTTTTTCTCCAATATTATCGTCTAAAAATGTTAGACATCTCTGCCAGCATTTCATTAGATTTTATTAGACGATAATTATCCGATAATGATTTATATGACATTGTCGCGCCTTCATGCTCCTTTTAATGCTTGCATGCTTCTCTCCAGCCATATCACACATCAATCAAGTCCAGACTCCACACATACACCAGACATTATACCGGATTCTGCCGTAAATTCGCCCATCCGAAAAATCGCCGTGGACAATTTCACTGCTGGCGCTTATTTGAGGTTCAAAATTTCAAAAAATAATCAAATATTTGTTGGGTACTTCTATTTTCATTAAAACCACCCACGCGACATTCAACGCCAGCAGTTGGGCCACCCAAGACAAAAGAAATCATTGCAGAATTAAAAAGTAGACCGCCTGAAATTTCATTACAATGTCACCCAGTGTCATTTTTCAAATACATTTGTTTTTATTTTATTGGTAACGAAAGTATATTCTAAACAAAGTTTTTAAATATAAACGAAAACCAACTAACTGCATTGCTTTGTAGGAAATGATCACGGTAGCGCAATCCGGTCATGCTGCGTTTCACAATTGTTGATTATTACTCAGTAGTGATTATAATAATGCACAAAAAATAAATTCGTTGAATTGTTATGAAATGCAAATAAAATTCAACTTAGTTTCATTGTAAGCAAATGATTCCGGTCGCATATAATGCTGTAGAGTTTCCGCCATGTCCTTTCTTTTGCATAGTTGACCCAATAGGTCAAATCGCTGATTAACCAATAAAATGCTGGATGATTCCAACGTGTTCAAATTACCGGAAGAGATTTGCCGATGTTGCAGTAGGATCTTTTGGCTTGGATTTTGATGGGAAAATGGCATGATTTTTTTTTTTTTCAAATAAAAAAATAGTTGTTTTCAAAAGATAAACTGAGCATTAGAAGAATAATTTAACATTGTTTACAGTGATAACATGTCATTGTTGAAATGAAGCTAACCTATTCACGCTAGTCACAATAACCATACTCTTGACTATTTTAGGCGTCAGAAAAGATTACGCCAAAATATTTTTAAAAAAAACTTTAAAAACTGCCGAAAAATCTCCCTGGGCTATTTCTTGGTCCCATTTTATTTTTTTTAAACCCAAACTGCCGTTTAATGGCCCTGAGCTAATTTATGGCAGAATCCGGCACATGTGAATTTGTTTCATAATCCAATTGAAGATGGCATACTTTTTGATGTCAAACATTTTCACCATTTTGAAACTGGAACTCTTTCATGTGTTGATGGATTTTGTTTAAACTTGGAATGTACGTTGAATACATTGGGACTTTGGTGCATGTCATTTTTCTGATCAAATTAAAAATGGCCGATCGGTGGTCATTTTGTTTTTAAGAATGTAGTTCACGAGTACATTATATTGGACATGTGCACATGCATTTGTTTCATGATCCAACTAAAAAACATATATGTTCACCTTTCTGGTACCAGATCTGTCATGTGCGGACAGATTTTGTTTGAACTTCATTTTTAATTCATCTTTATCATGCTTGCCTCATATCTGACAAACTTGTGTATTTTTATCGACTGCAGTTCCAGAACTCGTGCATGTCTAGATATTATAGACATTGCCTGGGTAGTCATGCAATATTTCATGGCTATACTACAAACTTGACAATTACTTTGTTTTTAATTAAAGAATTCCCATATTACTGTTACTACATGTAGCTTTCCAGAAAGTGTAATCTATTGGGTAATGCAGGCATGTGATTTTCCTTGGGGCACTTCCGTGCAAAGTTCAATTGAAATGTGTCAAAAAGTTGAGATAATACTAAAATGGCTACATGCTTCTGTAGTAAACAGTATGTGCAAAATCGTTTGCCTTCCCACCCCCAAATGGTTCATTACCAAAATTAAAAATTAGTGTACATGATAAGACAAATTTCAGATAATGCACGAAGAAAAGGTTCTAGTAAATACCTGCCGGGTAGAGGTAGTTTACTACAACAGACCAGAAACAGACAGTTGGTCTCTGTCATACTTTAACAAAGCAAAGACACTAGTGTCTTTGATGAACAAAGTAATACTGCAAATTTATGTTTGCATCCTTATCGCAGGTTGTGTGTCGTGCAACTCTTTGTATAGGACACTGACCTGTAGCAATCGCACCCAATTCATATAGTAAACTACATGCTGCTTTCAACCACCTGCTTAGACAGTCCTCTGGCCTAATGTAATTGTGTATCCTAGACATTCAAACACCGAAGCAATTCATGCAAGGGACTTTAGTTTCTCCATACTTCCTGTCCTGGTGTTCACTATTTATTAATAATAACATTAATATCAGGTACAATCAACTATCTACCACTTGCTTTAATTAAGCTCATTCAGTAGTCGCCATGCATTCACACGGTGTTGCTCATTCTTCTTCCCCCCAGACATCCTTGCGCCAGGACACTGAAAATATCTCTGCCACTACACAGGTGAAACGTCACAAAACTTTTACTATGCGTATTTTTTGGCATGTTGTCATTAAAGGGCTCTCGTGTTGCTTTCTTCATACTGGTAAACAAGTTTAAAAATATGTTATCTATGGTTGATAATGATTTCGTAAATGCACTGAAAATTTAGAAAAGTAAATAATTTCATCTCAAATTACTAAGGTGCCAGGCAAACTAAAACACTTCATGGTATTGACAGCTAACTAGTTCTATTGCCATTCAGTTTGTGCCACAAAAAGTGAAAAAAAATCCACAAACACGTACGCTTTTATCAGATTTGAAAGTAGTACCAATATGATGCATCGACCAATCAACAAGCACAAGATCGCATGGTGGTGGATATAATTGTAGAAATAGAACTGCCTGTGAGATTGAGTATTGCTGCTTGAAAATTTACCATATTAAAGTAGTTAGGGGAACTTTGTGCTCTTTATTTTGAGTACCGGTAATACAAGCACAACTTAGTTCTGAAAAACTGTCCTAGTAAATGGGAAGTAAATTCGAAAATGAAAACGGTTGAATTAGAGACAAGCTAAAAAGTAGTATTACCTACAAGTCACCTGGTTAACATGGCTCAGATATTCCCAGACTTGTGCAATGGGAGGCACAAATTTAGCTTGAATCAAATGAAACTGTCAAAATGTTAAAGCGCGGTTGTCGCCGCATATATGGGTCTCGTATAAACAAAGATGGCGACTTTGACTGTTGCGCAGTACGAACTGACATGTTTCCAAGCTTTAATTAGGTAATTTTCATGTGATTGGAAAGTATCGAAAGAGTCATCGTCGGTAATCAGTGCAAGTCGCGCCCAGGTCAAACTTCATACTTGCGATTTCCATTTGAAGAGCGCATTGGATTGTGGGAAAATCAATGTTTATCAACACAAATGTTGAACATGCGCAGCGCGGCGACTACCGCGGTTTAAGCAGTGAAAACGATTCTTTAAATTTGCTGCTTAAGCTTGTACCAGTATTGAGGTCTAAAATTTGCTGAACCACAGAACACTGATATTCAAGACACAAACTGAGGAAATGTTCTCCGCTGCAGAGCAAGTATGAACAAACTGCATGTACAATTCTCAAGTTAAAATCAAACTTTAATTCTGTACAGTGAAAATAAAAATTAACAGGTTAGAAACAATAAAGTGCTAAAATGTGCTGTTCATTGTGGATAGTGCTATTTATTTCTATCAATCAATTGCAATTTTTAGCAAAGTTTTGGGATTTCCTATTCTATTGGGAGGATTGTTTGACTAGACTGAGCTTTTATAGACATTTGTACGATATGATTACATGCGAAATGCTTGATTAACAGAGCATCACAAGAACAGAATTTCACAAACAGTAAACACATTCACTGGTTTTAACAAGTGAAATTCACTAAATTAATCAATGTAAAAAGTACAATAAACTCATAATTATGCTGGAAAATCTATGATTCTGAAATCAAGTGAATGTGATCAAAGTAGTGAAATTAAATACCAGTGAAAGTTGAAGCTTGCGGGAATCAAGTCCTAAGCAACACTTAAAGCATGCTAAAATCGCAAAGCTCATAAGTAGATGCCAGTTTGTATACATCAAACTGTATGACTGACTGTCACATGCGCAGGTGACGACTTTAATGCTTTTACAGAATAAAGAACATGTACAAGATACTAAAACAAATAATTTTAAACTCCTCTGGCACCTTGGGAAAGAGTGAGGAAGAAATTGTGTTTATGTCAAATTATGAATATTTTAGAGTGGAAAACTAATAATTGGCATAGTGCTCTCGTCTTGGATGTTAATAATGTATAGTCAAACAATCCCCCAAAATATATACTGGTCATTTGTAAGAGTAGGAAAATTGTTTTCATAGACTTGCTTGTCAGAACCCCCCCCCCCCATGTCATATTTATCCCATACATGAACAAGTGTACTAACTTTGTATTTAAAAAATACAATAGACGCGTGTAAAATGGAAAGCTATAGAAAATGATACATCTTATTTACAGCAATAAGTAATAATCAGAATAATTAAAGTAATGTTAGTAAATATGTAATGCTGTTTATTAAATATGTACATAATTGTAAAGAGGACAGAAATTCCTTGGTAACACTACCACTCGCACAATGTGTATCTCACCGAGACTTTTGGAAACTAAAATAGAATATTTCAACAGTACAAGTACTGTATTTTTACTTGGAATAATGAGCTTGTGGACAGTACTCTGTGTTAACTACATGGTCTAAGGCTTGTTAAGCAGTAGACACTTCAAATGCAAAATTGATGGTGTATCTTGTTTAAAAACTGCAACCATTGGATGAACAGAGATTCAGCAGAATACACCCTTTGGACCAAATGCTGCACAAATGTGCATACTGGTAGTGCATTTATGTACGAGTTGATGGCAGTGTTGAGTATTTCATCATTCGTATATAGCGTTATACATTCTTAAAGATTATGTGTTTGCAGTGGAGGTTTAGAGGTTGAAATCACCTACAAAAAAAAAAAAAAATTGAAAATGTAACCTAAATACAAGAGAACAAGATTTAATAATATGTTTGGAAAGCAAGTCCTATTAATAGTCTTCGTTAGAGAAGATTATTATAACCCATGAGTATCCACTCTTCATTGACAGGAGGATGCCACTCGCCATCATCATGAGCCTGGTAAGTGTCAACCCCAGAACGCGGACTCACTAATCAATATCAGTATGCCACTTATCAGGCTTTGGATTGATAAACACTGACAATTCACATCACCATACCAAGTGAAATTATTCTACAAAGAACTAGAGATTGTTATCAATTAAAAATTGTATATTGAAAGTTATTCTTACAAACGCTTTTTATTATGTCTTAACACATAATTTTTCATGCCAGCCAGTTTATTACTCTGTAATTAAAGCAAAAAAAAAAAAAAAACATGCAAAAACAAATAGTGTAATTATTTCCTTCAGAAGGGAGGGTTGTGAGTGTATAATTCATAGTGATATTTAGATGCTCTTAGTCTGGAAGCTATGTGCTTCTCAAGGGCTCAGAGTGGACTCGGTCGCAGTCAGATATTCACCGTAAATTTGAGTGAAAATGCCATTAATGTTAATATATGGAGATTACTCATTTTACTTCAATTGTCTGCAAAAATGCCGACCCTCAGTTTGAATATATTTGCATGGCCAATAAGATAAAAAAATTGTTTCACATAGATAATGGATAATGGGTAAAGGTGTTCTTTGAGTAGTGTCGAAGAATTAATTATTTTTTCTCTGTAGAAACAGAAGCTATTTTTAATTATGGTGTAGTTTGAAAAGGAACATAAGGATCACTGATTAGTTTATGAAATTTTAAAACACATACTCAATTCTCACAACCGTCCCTTATTGAGAAATAATTTAAAATTAGTGATCCACTCTCTTTACCTGTCTCGGTACACTAGTTTTAGGACTTGCAGATTTTTCTGGCGTGCCATCATCGTGAAATAGTCGAAGGATCAAAGTATCGCGTTTGTGTTTAGGGGAAATGGATGATGTAATGACGATTTGGTGAGTTAGTTGTATCATCATGCAATATCATCTATGAAAAATAAAAACAAAAACATGCAAATAATAATATGTGATTTTAATAATGGGATTCAAAGTCACAGATAATTCCCAATTGTTACCTGTATTATGCCAATGGTGTTTACGTGGAATTAAACCTAAACCGACAAATCTCACTCAAAAAAGAAGTATTTGAGATTCTGTGATGAGAATCCCAAAGTATTAAAAGCTTGATTGCTGTAATGCATGCTACAAAGCTGAGAATGGAAAGCAATATTGATTATTGGTACTAAAAACAATGCTTGATTGGGGTCACCAAATATGATCATAATGAACGAATCAACTCGTACATCGTGTATTGATAACTGTGATACATGATTTCTATGTTTTTTGTGCATGTTATGAAGGCTGGCAGCTTGTTCATATTCCTTGCAAAACTGCCAAATCTGCATAGAACAGATATGTGGCATGTATGTGTATGTATTCTGGGGTTGTTCTTGATTGAATATTTGTCATGATAACAGAGATATGTGTAGCCCTTTACAGTCAATATTGCAGTTGAATGTATAAGATATGTAATGATGGTAAAGACCAAACAGAATACAGAAGAACACAACAGTTCTTAACATAATAGTTCAGTCACTTCACTCATTCATGAGACGACAAAGTTAAATCCCATTTTTCTAAGCAATTCGAAGACAGATGAATACTGTAGAATTGGGAATATACCAAGTTAAAATAAATGCATGTCCAGGATATACTTATCTTGTTAAAAACTTACCCGACTTCTAGGGGCAGCTGTTGTTGCTGGGGGTGATCCTGGCCGGTTTTTTCTTTGCTTTTTGTTGAAAGGTGTAACTATGTGTTTCTGTAGAAATAAGTGTTGTATTCAATATGCTCAGCCAAGGGTAAAAATTTTCTATTGGTTTTTTTCACACACTCACTGTAAGAATTTTAAAGCAAAGTCACCTGTGCACACGTGGCAATTGAGTCATAAGCGACAATAACAATGCACATTAAAAATGCAAAGGTTTATGGGTAGATGCTTATTTGTGAGCAATACATGTAGCAGTCTATCGCATACCAGATTCCGGCTATTTAAATAAATAGTATTGAAAAACGGTTTGTAAAAATCAGTGATTATGAAAACATTGGATGGCACACATGGTGCATCATTTGTTATCTAATAGCAACATTTTCGTCACAACACTATCAATTGTGATGTTTTATTTCCAAAAAAACAGATTAGGAATGTGGCTTAAATTAGCTCCATAAAAAAAAAAGATTTAAAACATCAATAAACTTTTACACACCTTGATGACGCCACCAAACGATTTACTCCGACTGTGTTTTTTCTCTCTCATGAATCTAGCAGCATCATCTCTAACGCTTTCTGGTGTACCAGGCATGTGACAGTTCTTGGCAAACTGAAAGAAATTAATGGACTGTAAAGCAAGTGACAGTTTTTGGCAAACTAAAATTGAATAGGACAGTAGGCATGTGACAGTTTTTGGCAAATTAAGAATTGAATGGACAGTAGGCATGCGACAGTTCTTGGCAAACTGAAAGAAATGTATTTATTGGTGTGTAAGAAAGCTATATTGAGCCACGCAGAAACTTTTCAGAAGCACAAAAAATTAAAATACAGCATGAAAAAAAGAAAAAGTGTTTGATGAAGATTAACCAATATATAAATGCACATACATTTTTCATCAGTTTTCTCCTCTTTGCACTTGGTTCCATACTTTTAACTCCATCGAATAACTTTCCCAGTGCGTCTTCCGTTGTATGACGAGTTTTCACACGGACATTGGCACTTTGTGGATTACTTATAATGGGGCCATCTTGAGTGTCTTGAAGGTTTTTCAACTCATTCTGATTGTGTTGTAATGATTCATTCTTGATATGAGCTTCACATTTAGCGAGTAAAAGTGGTGGTACCTGCAATAATTTAATCAGTTGAACCATGATAGCCATAAAAGTAATATTACCGGTAATGCAGTATGGATATTTGAAACATTTACTTGGATATTTTATGTTGACACAGTGCATAGTGGGTACCTTTCAATTACCTTTTGTCAAATGCTGATACAAAATGAAATGCAAACGATAATTAGGTGAGGTTCCAGTCAAGTTGAAGCTACCGATTATGAAGTGAACAAATGTTGGGTGTCATGATCCCTAAACATGCCAGCTGAACATTTGTGAAAAATACAATACTGAATGTGCCTAAAAACACACACTACAGTTGAATTATTTTGACACAAGATAAACTAAATTCTTTTTTTCAGAGGATTGTAGAACAAAAATAAGTCACTTACCCTAAAAATCTTCTGAGAATATTTTATCATAAACTCCACACCTTTATTCAATTTGTTGACAAAATTTTGATCTCTGACATCATCTGTAGTAAACTGAAACACACAAACGATCAATAAATGAAACATGCTACACAGTGTAACCACATTTTTCATTGGCTGAAAATCTCCAGTGTGTAGTTATTTACCCAATAAGATTGAACTTTGGATAATAAGGTGTCAAGGTAAATTCAACCCTTGAAATGATTGGAAACAATTGATTACACACCAATACATAACTTTATATAATGTTGAATAGACTGGCCCAGCAGTGGTAATTTTATAATTTTTTTTTTCTTTTAAATCATGGTCAGATTATGGCCAAATTATGACTGGAGGTGTATTCATTGTTGATTATTCACAATATGCAGTGACATTATGGCACCCAGGAGTAGCTGAATTCTAAAAAGGGAAAGTAGATGTGTATTTACGCAAAGAATTCAACGCATCAAGGTTATGCATGGATTACAGTTGCGTAGAATAGGTCAGATCTAAACTATCCTTTGCTTGCAGCATAGTCTATGTTTGCACCTTACAATTCATGCTAGTCATTAGCATACTTTACCATCAAAAAAATGTGTGTGTGTGTGTGTGTAGCAGAACAGACCAGTTGTGAAGATGTCATGCGAACTCAAGGAATTCTACAAAATTTACTCTTAAATGGAAATAACATATGAAACGATAACATTGGCATGAATTGGCCAATCTCAGATAACAATCTTCCACATACTGTCGTACCATACATGTCAAAGTAGCGATACCCTCCCCCCAATACCAGAATGTATGACCATTAAGAAATGAGGTCATAGATATACTTACATATCTTGGCCATAACACATGAGGTGCAAACATAACCCCAAGATTATATGCTGTCATTTTATTATGAGTCTGTTCTTTAGCAGCCAAATAAAGCAGTTCCAACAACTCCTGCAATAGTTTATAGCTGTGACTCGGCAACATTAAAAATAAATATGTCAGGGATGTGATGTGGTCTTGTTTTCGTTTATCTCTCCATTTCTGTAAATTCTCTTCACTCATGGCTGCTGGCTTATATTCTTCTAACTTGTAAGTTAAATCTTTAAACGAAACAAGAGTCTTAATTTTCTTGATATTATTTCATGCACCATATTAATCTTAAGTACAGCATGCAAATTTTAATCAAAATTTCATTTGAAAACAAGTAGTAGTTGAGATGAATGGGTCATGGGTGGTGGTTGTTGTCATATAATGAATTTATAGTTGGGTTTCATGCTATGAGACATGTGCATACAAAATGTATCATCTTGGTCAAAAAACTATTTCTTGTATCATAGATGGTGTTTTAGAGTTCAAATTCTGTTTTAAATGACCATATATGTACTATCAATTGCAACCTACACATAAAAAAGCAATTCACTCAATATTAGCAAAGCCTGGCACAACAAAAAATCGTATGATCTTGTCAAGGAATCATTACAGTGAAAAACTTGTAGTTCTGTACTTCAAATACAAACATGTGCAACATATGCAATCTGGCATTGCATCACTTGTAAGGAGATGTAGACGATTATTTGTATTTATGTAATTTAAATTAAATTTCCCATTGGCTTTAGGTCTTCATTAAAATTGCTGAATAAATATTTCATGAAAGGTGACATTGGTTGACCTCAGCTTTTTAAAGAAATAAAAAACACAAAAAGTTACCTGCTGCTTGTACTTGTGCTTGGAACTGTTTGTCTGATAATAGTGGTTCAGGCAGTTCACCAAGGAATGTTTTCAACACACATGCTACATCATGAGGAGTGAAAATATCTGTATCTAAGTCAAGTATCTCACTCGCTATTATCTTCTCTTTTAACAACCTCTGTCTTTCAGCATTCCCAGGAACTCGGAAAATACCTTCAATGTGAAGATCTAAAACAATTCAAAATACCACGTTGATTTAACATAATCACACAATAATATATAGTTTGTCTCATCATTTACAAAATAATCAACGAAAATGTTCACTGTCCACTTTAATACCAGCACCATGACAAAGCAGTGGATAGGTAGAGCGTACAGTGCTGTATGTATGTATGTAGGGAGGCAAGTACATTATGTGTGTATATGTCTGTATGTATGTTCACAATAGAACTCAAAAGAGAAAAAAAACTAGTGTCTGCAAATTTGACACACGTTTCCAATATAATCTACATAATTGAGAATATAAAATTATAAAGTATATAAAAATAAGTTCTGATCGTCATCGTTAATGTTCACTGGTACATGTTGTACGTCATGCTTGCAATCAAATTTGTATAGCATATACCCTAGTTTAAAAATGCCATTTTTAAGGTAATGTATATTTTAAGGTTGTTGTATACATTACATGAGACCCAAATCTGAATCAAAAGACATCATAAATAATTATCTAACGTCCTTTATCTAATGTCCTTTATAAATATATACCGGTAACACAATGGTATCCTAAATCTCAAACTTGACAAGAATTTGAAGATCAGAGTGTAATCAGCAGTGAGAACACTCAGTCAGAATCTACTCACGCTTTCTAAGGTACTTCTGTCAGTACTTTGGCTTGACAATAGCCTTCAGCAGTTAATGGCGCTCCAAAAACTCCTCCAAGAACTAAATAAATAAAACACAGCACATTAATTTCATGTAAACAAAACATTGTATTTTACACAAGTTGTATCTGTCGCTAGTGCCATATCAAACAGGACCTGGCGCAAGCAGCAACCGCCCTTTAATGTATGATAAATATATTAAAGACGCATATATATGGAATTTATTTTCACTGATCTTTGATGAGTTTAATGTGAAATATAGGGAAAAAAGTATATTCGCATGTCAGGGATCTGACTCGACTATCTTTTAAGCTATTTCAGATTCCATTTTACCTAGACTGCATGTACAATTTTGAGTATTGTATGAAATATTTTCTAGGTAAATAAATTATTATTATTATTATATCAACACCAGTGGATTTTATGACGTCATTGCAGCAGATTATTTGCGATAATGTATTTAGTTTTATGCTGCATTCAAGATGGCTGCTCCCATATAGTAAATATCGTATTTATTGTAATATCACGTGTGCACCAGCTGACTGACAACGCTACTTTCGCCCATTATGGGTTGGCGGGTCGTTCATTATTGTTTAAATGTAGATCACTATGTCAGGAAGCCGATGATGCGCGCGCGCATAACGTTTCGGGATGTAACGTAAACTTGCACGCGTGATATTGTGCTTACAGGTGCACCAATTGACGTTACAAAAATAAAACTCCCTTCTATCGAATATCAAACTGACATGTTTGTATTTTCCGCCATGACAAAGCAGAAGTATTTTTGCACCCCAGTCTCGCTACTTCGGGGAAAGTGGTATATTGATCTCGTATCAGATAGGAACAAGCAGTTTACGCTCACCGTGTTAATCGACGGTTCGCTTGACAGCATACTATTAACGCCATCTTACTGAATCTTTTACAATTATGAATATGTAACGGACCTGATCAAGTAATGATAAAAGCGAAGCAATTCATTATACTGTGTATAATCCACGTGTGTCAGCTACTCTACATGTACCAACGTCACGTGACTGACAAAACACCAACTCAGTTTATTTACCGTGATACAATTCAGAACGTGCCGTCTCCATTATTTAAAACACACACACATAAAATTGCTATTTTCACTGCTGACGTCATCAATGATTCGCGAAAACTCTTTTTTTCATCAAGATATGTGCCACTCAATGCGAGTTTCTTTTATATGCATTTTGACTAAAAACTCAGATGATGGTTTCAATGTGTGTAAATTATGTATGCAACGAAAACTATTTGGAGATTTGATATATGACCGACTCCGAGTGTTATTTCATGTGTCACTGGGGGTGCGATGAGGTGTGGTTGGGTGAGGACAAACGCTCAGATATGGCAATATCGACTTTTTTTATTTATTATAAGCACTGTATTCTAAAAGAACGTTGGTGTTTGCGGTCTCCACATAATTCTGCCGTATACAAGTCAATATGCTTACATTTAACAAGTTGCTCATACATGCCAGCCCTCGCCGTCTTCTGTTATGTTCTTCTGTTTCCGTGTTACGTAACATGTTTTCAGTGTCACTTTTTGTACCACCGTTATAACCCTTTAATTTGACTTTACTTCCATATTTCTTACATCACGGAATTAAACTCTATTACCACACGACTATACCTGGCGACCAATCAGAATCCAGTATTTGCAGTTTATTATAATCCGTCACGGTAATTAAAAAAAATCACATAATTAGCATACAGTGAATCGCACACAACTCTTTAGTTTATTATCAAGATAGACATGACAGAGATAAACAACATAACATTGGCAGTTTTTCTCTGATAGTTCGTGACACACTGAAGTTTCCGAGATATTATTAAACGCAGTATTAGTACTGAATTAGACTTTCATTTCTGTGTTTTAGTTCTGATGGAGAGCTTACTTTGTTGGCAGCTGGGAACTGGAGGGCGCATGGAACGTTCTGGCCGTAAACTAGCCGTGTACGGTAATTAACTGTTCATCCAAACCACTCTACTAGAGTCGCGTACACCCAGATGTACATAATGTATGATCTCTTTTAAGATCTGTTAAAAAATATCGCCATGTCTAAGTCAATATAACTCACTGTGCAATTGAGCCTTAGTTTACCTTCTTTTATTCCTATCATTTTTGTCTAAATTAAAAACTCCCATAACGTCGATGAAGACGAAGAACAAAGGAAAACACATAAACGAAGAATAATATACTGAATAATATACAATGTTATAAACGGGACTCATTGTTCGTTTCGTTGACAATTCCATCCAATTTATAGCATCACAGCAGGTTTTTATATTCATATTCAATTTGTACAATAACGTTCATGCCAGAGGTTCAACTGATAATCGTAGATGCATTTAGCTGTATTCACAATGGACATACATAAAGCACACAGTCTCGTATATAAAGTAAGTATATGTTCAATTCTGTATTCATGTTTATCGGAAGAACTTATACAAACGACATCATTAAATCACATAAAATTAATATTGTTTTTATTAATCGTCAATTTAATTTAATTTACATACATCGAAGATATTTGTTGTGTTCGATCAAATATCTGTATATCGTCGTTTCTGTATCATACTTCTGTCAGAAGGTTGTCATAGCAACCAAGGATGTGTAGTTATATCAACATTTACAAACACTGGAATACTACCTTAAATTTAAAACATAAAGGCATTTCTTTTCCCAAACTGCTCTCTGTCTTTAGTCTGAAATACGTCGAGTAAGTGTCTCTGACGCAACGCCTCCAAATTGTTACGTATGTGTTTGCTCAGTGGGTCTATTGTGTTTAGCGTCGATCTTATCAATGGCAAATTATACATAGAATAACATACCAGTTCTACAAATCGCGCCCCCTAGTGACGGGAATACAGTAACAGTGTCTCTAGTTTCATATTTAAATCAAATATCCAATGATACCAATATAATAATTTAATTATTTGAATAACTTGCAACGGTGGAAGTTGATCAAACACGAGTTTTTCACACCTAAATAAGTATCAAATATTTGTCGACCCATTTATTCTCTCAGTTTAACAATTTCGTAGAGGTGGAACTTAATTAAATGACAGGTATCACACATACTTTGCCAATATTTACACATTTATTCTCTTAATTGAACAAATTGTAATGGTGGAAAATAATTAAATGAGAGTTGTTTAAACCAAAATAAGTCCCAGAATATTTGTCCACACATTTATTTTGACAATTTAACAACTTGTAATGGTGGAAATTAATTAAACACGACTTGTCTACACCAAAATTAGTCTAAAATATTTGTCCACACATTTATTTTCACAATTTAACAACTTGTAATAGTGGAAATTAATTAAACACGACTTGTTTAATCATTTGACATCATTCCAACTTACCAGCGGACAGTGCACAAGAGAGTATCATTATTGAACTACAATTATTAACAGGATCGTGTCTTGGCAATTCGTAGTATATATTTCTCGTGGTACAGTGGATAAGACAGTGCGCGAAAATTCAAAGTTCGTACAGGTTCGTACAGCTGCACGTCACATGTACACAAACAGCCACAATAATTATTTTTAAATTGGTCCTTCTTTTCAAATTAATGAATATTCACGAATGAGCACAGAAACTGTACGCCATGAATAAATTAGCATAAGAAAAATGCAAAAAAGTGTAGGCACGTCTACTGGAATTATGCCCCTGACAACACACCACGAGGCGAGTCAAGATGGCGTCGCCACCCAGTCTACTCCGAAGGGAAATACAATGAGTAGCGTGACCGAATACGAAACTGAAAATTGGAATAAACTGTGGCAAAGACTAGATGAGGTTGAATCCAGTTTATGTAAAGTCGATGTATTGGTAAATGAAGTAAAAATATTAAAGGAAGAAAATCTGCGTATGAAAGACGCGGTAAGTGATTACAAAATCGGACGGCAATTTAACGCGTTAAAAAAGAAGTGTGCCAATTTGGTGATTTATAAGGAATGCGACGGCGGTTATTGAACATAATTTGTAAAAACGTGATAACGTGATAACACCGGTTATAAAGTAACTATTGAGAGAGCGCACCGTACTCACCGTACACTAAGACCAATACACGTGTCATTTCTCCGCAACTCTGAAAAAAAGTATACTTCGTAACGCGGCAACGCATTTTAAAGGCAAAGTTTTCGGTGGCAGCACAATATTTATTGAACAGGATTTTAACGACGAAGTCAGGGAAGAAAGAAGACTGAAATTACCGAGATTTGAAGAGCTCCGTGCAAGTGAGAAGCGTGTGTTTTAGAACCATCCAGAAACTATAGAGGGTCGGCAAGGGGTATTAGTAAGCTGTAATAATTTTTATTTTATTTTTGTAATAGTGTGATTTAAATAAATAAAAAACGTACATATGAGCAAGGTGTAAAATCAGTGTAATTTCATTCGTCCGTAATTAAGGATATTATTTTTGTAAGCTTATTAAGCAATTTCTAATTTTGATTCTTAAACTCAAATTATCAAAATTATTATAAAAATGTATAAAGTAATTTTCTTTATCTGTAAAGTGTAAAAACCTATTTTTTACTGTAAATGGAATTTTCATTTTATTTCCTGTAAAAACGTAAAATGCTGTTTTTATTTCTTGTAACCTGTACCAGCTATCCGCCCCTGTCCCCCATGGCATGGTTTAATGAAGATAGATATATGAAAGTGATATGAAGGAATTAATGAATGGTTCTTGGTGGTAATCAGATCTACAGCTGAAGTGGAAAATTAAAAAAAAAAAAACTGTCGACCAGTCCCCTGTCACTGTACCTGGCTGGTAGTATACATGCAAGGTCTGTGATAAATTTTTATAATAGGTGCCGTGAATATTAGCTTTTTATTTCATGAGATGTTCATTGTGTAAGATAACCTAAGATATACTGAGATACGGTCTTTTGATTTACATATAAACTATTTCGTTTTTACATCTTTTAAGGTTTTTGGATTTTTATTTTTGTTTTTGTCTTGTTATACTTCAATATCAAAAGTGACAGTAGATTTTGATATTTTCTCTTATGATTAGTATGGATTGTA